AATACACTGTCCTAAATATATTCAGTCATGTATTCCATTACTATACATGAAAAAGAAACATATTCAGAATACATTTAGAATATGTAGAATTCATAGAAAAAAAAACAAACTCTGCTGTAATTATTATTTAGTTCTCACTGTTCCTCATTGTTACTGGTTGGTAATTTTCTTCATGTAATTCTTCTGTTAATACGTTTATGAAAAATTCAGTTATTCTAATGAAGTGATTACAAAATTTTTAACATCATTTTGGCTCTCATGGCCTGCTTCAGTCCACTACTGCTGCCATGATCCCACTGCCTTTTCATAACCAAACCAACAGTTTGCCAATCCCAATAACACAATCTTGCTAATTTGACTAAAAAGTGGGTAGCTGTGTGATTTTCTGTCAATAACATATATGTAACTATAAAGGCCACAAAACACATGCACAAATTCAGTACAATGCCATTGCTAAGCATATCACTCATGAACATGTGCATTACGGAGGAGACTGCGAGGTTCAGTCTTCCCACAAAAGAGTTTAGTAACACTAAGATTCTCACCTGACTCATCACATTGTTTTATCAGTCTACTCAGGCTTTAGCAGGAACTTCTGTGTTTGTAAAGAAGCCGTTTATTGAGATCTTCTTTAGATTAAGACATTACACACTGTGCTGATTTCAAAATAGTTAATAAACATGCACAAATGATGTATTTCCTAAAAATGTAAAAAGTAACTGCACTCACAAAATGTAAATTGGACTGAATGTCGATACTTAATTTCTGTATTCTGAATACACATTCATAATACTTGTATTCCGATACAACCCAACCCTGCCTTCATAACAACTTCAAGAAACAAACATAAAACACACTGTGATGGGTGAAAGAAATCTGGGTTTAGGCTTCAATAAGTAAACCAAGGACAACAGTGGCAAGGAAAAGCTTTCTAAAAGCAAGAGGAAGAAACCTTGAGAGGAACCAAGACTCAAAAAAGGGAACTCCTTCTCCTCTTTTTGTTTTATGGGAATAGTGTGAAACACCAGAACTGCAATCTGCAGTGTGTTTAAAGGGAGTAAATGAATACACTTCCAGTGGATACACTGCACACTGCAATTTTCACTTCATTAATTTACATTTTAAGTTGAGCATTTTATCAATGTAATTATATTCCTTTCTATATTCATAAAATATTAATTTATATTTGGCTGTTACACGTGTTTTTTATGCATGGATGATGAATATGACTGTGTCTTATGGCAGTCTATTGGTTTACTGCCATTGTTTGTATTGCAGATTACAGATCCACTGTTGCATGCTGTTGCCATATGGCAAGAAAATGCAACAAATACTTATTTTCTTTTTTTCCCCATATTTCTATTATTTCTGTCACTTTCAGATAATAAATATCTTCATTATTACATAATTCATGCAGTAAAGAGTTAAGTGTGTCATGTTTTCATCTACTATTCACCAATATGCCTACTTTGTGCATAATCTCCCCTCTATGCTGCTGTAGGTCTAGTCTGAAGAAAGAAATCCTTCATGTTTTACCATATAAGGTGTAGATAATAGTAGAGAGAAAAGTAGATAACATGGATCTCCCTCACTGTTTAATTTCCACTTCACGCTGAATCAAATCCCCTGGGAAAATGTATACCCTGAGGAGATGAAAAATTGATGGGCGGGTTCCATTATTGATAGAAGTCTGCGGCAGTTTAAGGGATGAATACTCAGTCTTGCCTAAGCTGGGTTTTACATAGGCTAATCTGCCTTTTTAAAAGGGGGGCATTTACTCTATTACAAAAGAAGAAAGTCATGGTCTTTCTTTGAACCCTCAGACTATCTGAGGAAATGCCAGGGTGCAGAGGGTATGAGCACAGACTGCTCTCTATCTCTCTGAGTGACTGATAGCCTTGTGTTATATGAGTTCTCTTTCTGTTTGAGAAGTTCATTAATTTTTCACACAAAATGATATGGCCGAGGATGGAAAACACACACAGAGGGGAGAGAGAGAGAGAGAGAGAGAGAGAGAGGGAGTATGTAATATGGAAGTGAATATCATAGCTGTTGTAACAAAACTTTCATAGAGAAGCAAAAGTACTTCAAATACTTCAATGTATATTAATGTAAAGACATTACAAGGCTTTGATTTCTCAGTGAAAATATGCCACAATGCTTGTTTTTAGAGTGGAAAGACATACAAAACAGCCCTTTGAACAAAAGGACCTGACACTACAAGGCCGGTGGGCTTTATTCTCACTAAAATCCCTGTTGGTGCCCAGGCTGCACCTGCTCTACTGCAGCCTACTGTGTGCAAACAACCCAAAAGGCTCTGGGGACTCCACTATTGTCATACCTGAATAATGAAATAAACAAACACAGAGGTTGACTGAAAAACTTCCAAGAATCCACCAAAGCATGTTACAAATCCATTTTTATAAGGTTGTGGTCCCCTCATTCTAGGGAATGTTATCTTACCACATCCAAATCCAGATGTTCAGAGCACCTTTGCGAGTCTCATGTAGGTAAAGCCCAAAGCAAAGTGAGGCTGAGGAAAAAGTTTGGGGAGATGCAGAGGGTAAATAATGGAGTGCCTATGTGCAGACATGAATCACTCTGCATCATTCACCAACAAACAAATGTCATCTTTCCGATCAGCCCTGCAGATTCATCATGCTGGAGCTCCTGACAGGGGAAGAACATAAAATGAGCAGTCTAATTCATCTCCCCAAGGCAACGCTACTCCATCATCCTGCCGCTCTTTTTCACATTGTGTAGGGAAAGAAGAAGAGGAATAACTCGGTTCACCTTAGGGAATAGGAGCCATGTGTTTTCAGGTACAAGAGAGACACTGTATTAATGAATGCACTGTTTGTTTTCTTAATTTAACAGGAAGAGTGGCAGAGCTGCTTATTTGTGTTCGCTGTTCTCACGATCTGTGGTATTAGTGGCTGTGAGGTGTTTTAATAATTGCAGTTATGTAAGATAGGGAAGGCAAAAAATACTCAGTACCAGGTTCTAGCCAGCTACACAATGTCTCATCTTATTACTCCTGTAAATCTTAGACTACCTGAGTATATTATCTATTCACAGCTTAACGAGTGAGCCCTGAATGTACTCTTTACAGTAATAGAGATTATACATCCTTTTTTATGATGAGAGTAATGAATGGATACAAATCTACTCTACACGCATGACCCGTGTACCTGAAAAAGCTCTAAAGGAAGGAGTGCTTGAACTGACACAGCCTTCTAAGCCTCAGATTGGGCATTACGCCAACAGGAAGCTCTCACAAAGGGATGACAGTGTGTGGGTGGGTGTGCTTTGGCTGCCTGGAGAAGACAAAATGGAGTATTTCCACCGGACTGATGGAAGTAGTTCACTCACTACACATAACACTGCCTGTAATTAACTTGCCTCAGCCTTCATGGAACCTAAAATTACCATTTCTAATTTACTACATGACCTCAAAAAGAGGAACGTAATAGAACTTCTGTGAATTAGATTTGTCAGGGAGCTGCCTTTCCACTAAAACAGCATGGAGAAGCATCCAACTAATAGGAGACCTTTCTGAAAGATGTTTCTACAGTAGGTCAAGGATGAGCAAACTCAATTAGTTAATACAGATGTACTTAGTATGGAGTCCTTCAAGTCTGTCCATGGATGGCTGCAGCCAGCATAAGGCAACTGTCCCATGCTGCAATATCTCACACAAATACATTTCAGAATGTATGATCATTGGCATGCAAAAACTACAGACGCTCTTTTTTGTCTAACTTATATTCTTTATTAGCAATAAGGTCAACTTGATTAAGTAAAAGGGCACTGTGGCATGAGGTGTGATGTATAAGTGAGGTGTATTACCTCAATGTTGACCTCATTAGCATACACCTACATACTGTAATTCATGCAGTGGCAGTTTGATATTGAGTGTCCTCATGAACGTAAATAATAACAAAATAAATATGGCCAGCAACTTAAAAACATCATTAGCCTGCATATTTCCATGGTACACAGTGAAATTAATTAGCGTAAAAATATAAGCAATCCATTTTGGTCGATTTTGTCACTGGAGGAAAGCGCGCTCTATCGATTCGAGTTTGGCAGGAATTTCAGCACCACGGGGTTTTGGACAGCTCCCGGAGTGGGGCCCAGCTCTTCAAGCCTTCGTCGCTGGAAAAAAACGACCACTCTAGCGCACTAAAGCGTGCAGAAGTCGATAGCTTGCAGAATTTTTCATGTAAGAATAGTAGTTTAAGATAAGATTGAACTAATTCAAAAAGCAATATGTCACTAATTCTAGGTCTAGGCATGGCAATGCCACCAAACTGTGCATTCAGCCAGGAGTGACTGAATGACCACCTTCATATTTTTACACAGGTGCCTTATAACGTCTGTAGTCTCACTCAAACAAGCATAGAGCAACAGACTGCACCTCTCTTTAAGCCATACTGGCAGAGTCGCTCGACGCCGAGCCGTGTGATTAACAGTCATTAAGTGCAGAGTACCATTATACTGAAGTGGCGTGGAGGAAGGAAAGGAAATAATGGGAAAGGGAAGACGTATTCAGTGTAGCGTATTCAGATAAACTGAACATCGTTTTTTGTGATGAGGAAATCGATTGAACTTTGAAGACTGTGCTTCATGTCACGCATGAACCCGCAATGTTAGACAGAGAGAGAGAGAGAGAGAGAGAGAGAGAGAGAGAGAGAGAGAGAGAGAGAGAGACTTTAAATTAAATATGACCTAGCCTAATGGCCACAGTGTACAGGTGGTCACAGCGCAATACACTCACCCCATGCCTATAAAGGACTGGACTCCTCTGGTGCACACATGCAGCAGCATCTCAGCTCAAACATCCGTCGTTGCTAAGCGAGGCAGCAGGACGTGAAGCAACAAAGCAAAATTCCCTTGTAGGATTTTTTTTTCTTACCATTTCTACCACATCGCAACGTGACGCACGCGACGCCTTATAAGTGGCCCATTGACGCAAAGGGAAAAGAAGGTCTACTTACTTTTGTCTCTCTCTCTCGAAGCTGGGATCTCTTTGCAGTTCAAATCGGAGCGAAAAGCACAGCGCGCGCTCTTCCACGCCAGCCGCAGTGGAACTCCATCCGCGAGCCTCACGCAATTCTGCGCACAGTTCCTCCACACTGCCCCCGTCTCGAGTTTATTCGATGTCCGGCAGTGGCTATAGATCCCTCACCGGCTCGTGCGTTCAAGATGAATCGCGCATATCCACATTCTGTTCAGTTCTCCACTAAGACCAAACGCCAACAAATGTTGCTGTAGCTGCGAGCTCCTGCCGTGTTAACCGGACATCTCTGTGGCCATCCTCTGCTTCTTTTCTGACTCAAATGAACGCAGTTCCCCCTCTGCTGTGGTGTCCCATTCTTTAACTCGATTAGATCTGTATTACTGATTTGTCCCCCCTTCTTCACAAGCCAAAGCCCCCATACTGATCCGCATCCTATGTTCTTCACTGTTTCTTAGAAAAAAACGTACAACTAGGGTTGTTTTCTGTTCTATCCTCAAGGTTTAGGGTGCAACTTTGCTTTTTTCTCACTTCCCTCCTCTCTCTTCGCCCCTAAACGCGCAGGATCTGATTAGGTTTCTACTCACAGCCCAGTGCGGATCTCAACACGCTTAGATTTCCTCTAAATGTCATGATGTCCACAGGAATGCCTGACCGGGCTTTACGCACGTTTCAGCACGTCGGTGAAAAGAAAACGCGCATTTTCATTTTCAAATCACTTCAAAGCTCAAAGCCTCCCGAGCAATTCCGAGCGAGATCTGGATGGTGGAGACCAAGCAGCGTCTTCCCCCCTCAAATAAAAGCACACACACTCCCCATCCTCGGAATAACGACTCAAGCGCACGCGTCCTCTTTGCTTCTCATCCACCGCGGGAGGGAAAAAAGTCATGCTGTATAGTTCCGCTAGAGATGGATGCGAACTTGCAGGCTGCGGAGGTGAGATGTACATCCATCAGGGACCGCTCCGGCGCTCATGTCACACTCCCATCATTTCTCCTCAGAGGATCAGCTCCGTCCAGGGCGCTCTGGCGCAGCCCATCCACCGCTGGCCCACAGCTGTGTCTGCCACGACCATCCACACATTCATGATGCCCCTACGCGTCGCTCCATGTGAGGGATCAAGCTGGACGCTCGAGAAAGAAGAGCAACGCTACAGGTTAGGAGAAATTCCCCTGGGCAGGAACGAGGAGAGTGGGAAAAAAATCAAACCAAGCGCTCGCTGAAGTCGTCCTGCTCGAGACGATTGCGGAACTGGTTCAAGCCTCCTCGCGCCCTGGACGTGTCCACTTGCTCCCGCCTCTCAGACGTATGAGGATGAGGATCTACTCTGCGCAACGTGACTCCCTCCGCCGTCGATTTCACCCCCTTTTTTTTCCTGCTCACGAACTCGCAGGCAGCGCGCGCTGTCTCTGATCTGCGTTTAGTCCTGAGTTGTTGGGCTTCTTCTTATATAACAGTTCTCTCATTGGAGCCTCGGTTAGGTGAAATATAATTATCCAATGACCTCCTATCAGCCTGCTACTGATTGGTCAGCGACGATAACCCCTGAACGCCAGGAGCGTTTCTGACCAGGGGGGAGTCATGTGGAAATGTGAACGCGTGTTTTGCGGTGCCGGTCCCTGGTAGAGTGTGTATATGTGCGCTCTTGTGAGAGTGTGTGGTGGAAGTGAGAGAGAGAGAGAGAGAGAGAGAGAGAGAGAGAGAGAGAGAGAGACTGTCCGCAGCTTTCTTGTCTATTGCGAAAGGGACACGACTGCCATCTACTGACTCCCTTGAGCCCATCTTGACATCTTCAATCAACGACCACCTGAACTGCTCAGAAACGCTCAGGCTGTCAAAGAAGGCACGGATTCTAAACATGAAATCATTTCTTCAATACAGCTCCAAGCCTCTATGTTCCTTTCTCGACTCTGCTAAAAAAAATGAGGGTTCCTAAGTGGTTCTTGGCTTGGGTGTACAGTGCTGGTAAGCCTCTTTTATTGGTATAGAACCTTCCCCATAGAGGGCTTCCCCATAGCTCTTATTTACAAAAAATGGCTCTTCCACTGATATGTTCTGCAGGGAACCAAAAGTGGTAAATCGCTATAAAGAACTCTTCTTGGCACCTTTGTTTTAAAATGAAGAGTGTTGTGTTTCCATGCAGTATTCACCATTATATTGAGCTTCTTCACACTGGCTTTTATTTACACAAATGGTTCTTTAACCCCTTAAAATCACAAGCTTATTACATACTAAAGCTTATAATTCAGTAACTACAGGGACTCCAATGCAAACTAGCTGAGCTATTCTTACATTATAGAAGTGTGCAATAAAACATTGGTCCTGCCGGTAGGTCTTGGCCGTTTAAGGGGGTTGAACATTAGGGAAACCAAAATGGCCAAAATGGCACTGCTCCAAAGACACAAGAGTGTTTTTCTCAACAAAAGACATGGAAATGATGAAATATAACCTGGAATGTTAATATGTGAATGGGTGGATTAGCATAATTAAAAAAATTCAGTTCCAGGAAGTGGCATTGTTAGATGATCATAAACCAACCATTGAGCTACTGTCTCTGACACATTGGTTTGTTAGTTGTGCAAACATAGTAAGACCAGAGGCGAACATGCTGCAGTGAGATCTTACACACGCTGGGGTGCTGTCTGTGTTTGAGCGTTTGTAAGGTGCATTCTCATTCCTTAAGCACAACGTGCTTGTCAGCATTGCATCATTTCCACCCGTGCTGCTGGCATCTCATCATTTATGTGCCTGAGCAGCTGTCCAGCTGCCTATCATGCATAGGCTACGTCAGCTTAGTATGGAGGACAAGCAGCTCCTCCTCTACTGCTGTCTGATTGGGTCATTCTGATTGTTTGACGCTAAAGGGCAGGTCTGCATGCTTAAAAGCTTGGCAGCAGGTAAACTGAATCATTTAAGCCAAAAGCAGCAGAAATATTCCTAAAATCTTCTCTTGTCGAATGTTTGACTTTTACCTTAAGTTATGTGGCAATACTCTTAAAAACAAAGCTGCCAAAAAGGGATCTTCAGAGTGATGCCATAGATGGACTACTTTGGGTTCCTTTAAATAATCTTTTAGTGGATGGCCACTTCTTTAGATGAGTTTTGTGACTTTGAAGAACCTTTTAAAAAAAATTACATTTAAAGATCCTTCACATAATGCAGCTGAGAGCAGGGCACAATCTAATGCATTTTGTTTGTTTTTTTTCTGAATAATTTTAAAAACGTATTTGAGGAAGATTAATATTTTTACACAAACAACCCACACATCACTGCTACAAACAAAAACATGAACTTTGTCTCCAGCACCTACTGTTTATGCACAATTCAGCTAAAAGCAAAGTGAGTGCAAAGGGTACAATTGATGTCATTTAAGATTAGCTAACAGACTGGTACAATACAAAACACGGTTAATTCAAATCAGTTCTTTATTGTTTGAATAGATACATAAACATCATCAAAGTAAACATGATTAGTGAAAAGAGGCTGTGCTGAGTTATTTTTGACCACAAAGTAAAACATGATCAAGAGCATGTCAGCATGATAAAATTGAAATATATTTTATTTACACCTATAGTATGTTTTTGATAAAACTGTGCATACTTTGTGAGGCTAGTAGTAACATTGAATTAAAACTAACCCCACCGTGTGGAGGCTGTACTCACAGCTGTCATTGTGAGCTGTTTATATGCATCAGAAGGCTGCTGTATTACAAACACCAAGTGTAATTAACATAATATAGGTGTGAATTTTGAAACACAGCTCAGTAACTGAAAAACACTTATGATGAGAAAAGTTACTTTTATGGCATAAAAAACAGTTTTCAGTGTAGAGAATTGTCTGTCAAATTTCACAGGTCAGATTGTTATAGAAATACAAGAACATGGCTAAAAACATATCACTGCTGTTGGAACAAAACCTTGTCCAAAACCATCTCCAAAATGTTAACTTTACAGGGGAAGGACAAAATATACCTTACTTTTAATGTAAGTCAATGGAACCAGACATTTTTCCAAGTCATTCTGGGCAATTGCTGTTGGTCCATTCATCATGAACTTCACCCACAATGTAAAGGACAACAAGCATTTTCAAATTATGTCAAAAACTGAAAAACGACAAAAATGGAAGGTTTTGTTCTGACAGCAGTGATATACTTGAATCTACATAAAATATCTCTCTTAGTTTATTTCCTGCTCTCCCCTACAAGTTATATTATTATTATTATTTTTTCCCTGGACTGTACGTTCAAGCCATGAACCATTTAGGGACCTTTATTTTTAACAGTGTAAGTGAGAAAACACATTTGTGTAATATTTCCCTGGTTTGTAAAGAAATCCAAGCAAATTCAAATCATAAGGACTGCAGGCATATATGTGCACATTAAGGCACATACATTATCAGCTGCCTTAAATATGAATATTTTTTTAAACTTGCTGATCCAGACACAGATACACAGTTTAGACTGTCTTCTACAGTATATGACAGTATACAGTACTGTATGTTTTGCACAGAAGAACACTGCAGATATGCTATTTAAGAACAACATGAGTGAAAATCTTAAATCCAAAACTTTTTTATAATAATAACAATAATTGTAGTGCATACTTGGCCTATGTGTCATCAAACCTCAGGATAGAATTGAAACGTAGAAAGATTGACTGCTTCATTATTAAAGCTGCAGGTTTTTACAGTGTTTTTCACAGCCATGTCCATGTGAAACCATCAGCCAATGTAGCTTGAGTATGAATTATGTATCCACTGCATTATGATAGCTAGCAGCCTGGTTATTATTGACAGCCTACCCAGCTGTCTGGATTGAAGGCTTTCATTTTATCACCGTCCAATGATTCTCCCGTGACCACTCCATTTTACTTAGGCTGTGATTTGCTCTCTGGGAGTCTTCTGAATGACCATAACATCTATCTTAATGCAGCCATTTATTTGTCTACGGGGAGACAGGGGATTTTGGTGATTGACGCAAAGCATTACACTTTTTTCACATAAACAAATCCAATCCAAAGGGAAGGGAACCAGAGTGATGCCTAGAATGCTGCAGTATGCCTTTACCACAACATCTCTGTATAATTTATTTGCTATTATGCCCTTTAATGTAACCTTATCAAGCGTTTTCTTTGTATTACTCAAATTGCCTTGTTCCTCAGTGGTACCTCAGTGGTTTTATTGCAGTGTTGCATTTCAAACATTATTTGGAAACCTACAGTGCAGACCTTGGAGCACTGAAATTCTTTAGGCTTCGAATGCACATTGGCTTTAAGCAAACATTATGAGAACCCAAAAGAAGCTGGAGGACCACTGGGAAAGGTAAAGCAGGTAAAGATTGTGGAACATTAAACATTAAACCCTTGGATACATATCGAAAGAGCATACTCATACCTTAAATAATGATGCTTACAAATGACCTTCCATCTGTGTTGGGAAATGTTCCTGTGTCCTTGAGCAGGGTCCTGCAGACTCTGCATGGGGGAACATAAATCTTCTCTGTCCTCCAGTTCTTTTGTCCTTAGTCTGTATTGGGACCTGCTCACAGGGTCAAACATTGCTCTAAACAATAGCTTCAGTACAGTCAAGCCACAGTATGGAGTCAACATCAAAGGCTCTGCTGGAAAGTTAACAATGTCATTATCTGACCATCAGACTCAGACTTCAGTGGCTTTGCCGGTGCATTTGGCCAATGTTATGAGCAGAGAAGCACAGTTCCATAGCATGTTTGAAAAAGGACACCTACTGTGATTATTTTTGGGTGCAATATTATGCCAAAGTGTGAATAATATGCATGAAGTGCCACACTTCACAAAAATGTTCAAGCATACTTAAAATTGTAAGGCAACAATTTGCATGGATGATTTTGCTTTGGTTTAAAGGGGATTTCCATTAATCTTTTAAATTTCAACATAACTTTACAAAGTAAACAAAGTAATTCAGAGTGGTTTGATGTGAAATGATCCATTCTAGAGAGACCAAGTCAGAATTGTTTATAAAAACCCGAAGTCTGAAGAGTCTAATGCCTCTAAAAGCTGCTTCACAGCAAGTTATTATATGAAATAATTATGAATACACTGTCTGAAACATGATACACTGTTGTATGAAAGTTTTGAGTAAACACAGATTTGTTTTTTTTTTAGATTTTACTATTATCAACAATATATCTAAAAAACTCATAAGATGTGTAGATTCACCAGTTGTTTTGGCCAACACCACTTATCACCAGCATTGTGAAAAATCTGAGTTGATTTGTCTACAATGTACCATGTCACATCAAAACACCCTGAAAGAATTTGTCTCAGTGATTAATTTACAAAACAAAGCAGGTCATTGTGTCTGTTATCAAGTTTATGAGTTTGCCCTTAGTTTTATCTATTTCAACCAACTGCACTTCTCTGGGTTTATTATTAAAGGAACCTAAAAAATGTGAGAATATTTCTGACAACTAACTCAAACAAATGAGAAGATTTTTTTGACCACATGCTGTGTTAAGAA